TGTGGTTGTTGTGTGTGTGTGTGTGTGTGTGTGTGTGTGTGGTGTGTGTTACTTCTGTACAGTAAAGGATAGCCACAATCCAAACCAGGAAAGTTTGCATCACGTTCTACGCAGCGGCTTCCCCCCAGTCACTCTACGCACTGCATCAAGGGGGAACACATTCGCTGACGCACCCGCAGCGCTGCCGCGATGATTTCGCAATGCCTCTCACTGCTGCTCTGGTGGAGCTCCATCTCTTTCACTGGGTTGGACTACCCTGGGCTGTCGCAGGATCTCGGTTTTGCAGTTGCAAGCAACCTGTCGTGCTCAGAGGTGCACATTGGCGGGGTGGGTGGCACGTTCAACTCCTCGCTGTGGTCGCTGGAGACGACAGCCCCCTCCACGGCAAACTGCACTCTCGACGTGAATATGTCCTCCGCCTTTCGCCAGGCCTCGATGGATGTGCTGCTGCCCCCCAGCCGCGTTGTCCTCCAGAAGTCTGTGGACGGGGCGTGCTACAGCACCGAGGTCGCCGTGGGGCTGTGTGGCGTCAGCATGACGCTAGAGAAGCTGAAGGTTACTCCGTCAAACTTCATTATTGACATTCTTGTGCGCGTATCCAAGAATAAGGTCGCCACGGCGCTTTCTGGTCTAATTTGCCAAAAAAGTTCTTCCTACGTCGCATCGGAGCTAATGAACCGCACGCTGAACCCTCCCGCACCCCACCCAACTCTTCTTGCTGGTGCCGCGCCACTGGAAACGCTGAAGCTTTTCCGTGTGCTTGCAAGCATTACCCGCAACGCTCCTCTCTTTGGTGTCAAGTTCTCCGTGTCCTCGCTTGATGGGACGACGCTGCACGTGCACATGACGTTTCCCGACCATTTTCACCTCAGGCTGGGTTACTCCCCCGAGCTGGAAAAAATGTTGGGCAAGTTGGATGTTGCGCTCAGGGTGATGGAGCTTGCGAGCGCCGCAGATTCCCTGAAGCAGCTGCTGCCGATGCTCAAGAAGGGTTTGGTGGTGCTGGACGTCCCTCACTCCTTCAACGCGTCCTTTGAGGTTGTGTTTCACGACCTCCGGTGCGCTGAGGACGGAATAAGCTGCACAGTGCCACGTGCTGGGGGCATTGCGCTGCAAAATATTCGGTCGGAGAACCTTGGTGAGTGGGACAAGGTTGTCACGAATATTGCGGGCCCACTTGTTTCCTCGCTGCTTGCTGAGGCGCTGGATGAGTATCTGCAGTCCGACAACACGACCGGTCCGCGCTTCAGCCTCCCAGTGCTACTCGGAGAGGCCGTCAACGAGCTGCCGCCGATGCCGTATGCGGCAGTTGTGGCGGTTGTGGCTGTGCTCCTCCTCGTGGGAACTGCCGTTTTGAGCGTTTGGCGCCACCGCCGCGGGGAGCCTGTGACAACCGACGATGGCCTTCCACTCACCCTGAAGCGTGCACTGTTGGAGGATCTGTTTCTGATGCTGCTGGTGGTTCTGACAGCGATTGGCTTTACCTGGTGCATCCTAACCACAATTGTCTCCGTCGTGGTCGGAGGCGAAGTGCATTACATGAGCTTCTCACTGCTCGAGACTATTTGGAAGACGTATGAAACAGGGATGGAGGCCCTTGCCGTGCTCATGTTTATCTTCAGTGCAGTGTACCCCTACCTTAAGCTGGTGGCGATCGTGCTGTGTACGCTGATTCTCCAGAGGCCGGAAATGCTGCTTCTTAACATCATCAACTACCTTGGGAAGTTTGCGCTGCTTGACGTATACTCCTTTGTCGCCATGTCGATGGCGCTGGAAATTGAAGGTGTTATTGAGATGCATTTTCATGCCGGGTTTTATGTATTCCTTACAACGACGCTTATTTCCATCGTTGTGGGAAATTATGCCACACACTTCTGGCGCCGCGGCACCTCGCTCTACCGGCGTGGCAAGCCGCTCGAACAATCTGTTCCATATGAGGCCGAACCCGCACACGACGAAGCTGGCGTCCGCAGACTCGAGGGATGCAAACACAATGCGTGGACGCGGAGACGCCTGGTGGTAGCGGTGGCGAGCGGCATCTTTGTCGTCGCGTGTGTCCTCCCTGCGTGGATACTTCCCTGCATAGGGTACGAGACCCATTGGGTGATACCCATCTTCAAGGAAGAGGTGAAAGAAATGTCTTTGTTTTTTATCGCTACCCTGAATTGGTTCTTTTTCGTTGTCTGCTTCCTCACCGTTGGCCTCGTCCCGCTTGTGCACACGATCATGTTCCCGCAGTGGATGCTGCTGGCGTCGTGGTGCGCGACTGACGTGCTACTCGTGGCGTGTGTGGCCGGGTTTGCGCAGCTTCGGGCTGACACTGCGCCAACCGCCCGAAACAAACTAAGCGCCATTGTGAGCACAACGCCGTACCTGTACTGGCCGCTCATCCTGCTGCTGATCTGCACCGTGTGGCTTTGGCTCCTGGCCGCCGAGAACACCTTTCAGTTGTCGCGCCGCCTGCGGGCGTGGATGGCGCGGCGCAAGGCCCAGCACAGCACTTAACTTTTCCTGTAATCGAAGTTCCCCGGCGGTGAACGGACCTTGGCACGACTCTGGCCCGGCCTGTCGTGGGGCAAACTATTTTTTTGTAATGAATCTGATGAAGCATGCACGGAGTTTGTGTTTGTGTTACTTTTATGATTGATGTTCGTTTATTTGTTTTTTTTCCTGTTTTTCCTGTTTTTTTTGTTTTTCGGGTGTGTTTATGTGTGTGCGAGCGCGTCGGTGGCGAATCCCCGCGCAGCGAACGAGAGTGCGCCCGTGCCGTGGACGTGGAAGTGGCCTCCATCAAGACTGGAGCCGGGAGTGAGTGACGCACCTGGAGGGGAAAGGAGACGAGGTGTGAGGCGAAGAAAGGGAAGTCGGACGTAGCAGCCCCACAAGGATGAGTGTTTTGTTTTTGTTTGCTTTTGTTTTTTTTTGTGTCGGCGGGCTTCACTCCTGCGTCGGACTCACAAGACTCGGCAGGTGAGAGAAATTGACTACGCACGTGGCAGGGTTAAGACGGTTGTGGGCGGAGTGGTTGAAAACGTGCGAGGAGGCACCCGTCGCCCTCTGCTGGCGTTTCGTTTGGGCGTGTGGTCGCGCGGCCGCGGCGCCCATGAAGACTCTCGTGACTGCGCGGCGTGTTCTCCGCCCGGTTTGTTTGATTTTGAGCGTTTGTTTTTTCGAGAAAAAAGGGACGGAAGGTGGGCGCCCAATGCGGTGTTCGCTGGTAGACTGTGTAAGTTAGCAAGCTGTTATTTTGTGTGTGCGTGTGTGTGTTTCTGCGTGTCTGCATGAATGTGGATGCCCGGCCGTTTGCTTCCACTCTTAATGTTTTGCCCGTATGCCGCATATTTTTTGGTTTTGGTGAGGTCTCACAGGTGTCCCGCGCACGCACGCTCCACGGCGCATGATTCGCCGTCACTGATGGCCAGCCTGTGAGTGATGCGGTGCTCGTTTTTGGTGCGTTGCCTTGCAGGAATGCAGAGGCGTGGCAGGCGTTGGAGCGGCAGCGGCGTTGGACGCAATGCACGCCGACGTCGGCTGCACGCTGCCCCAATGAGTGGCGATGGCGTGGACGTTGGCGAGGCGCGCACCGTTGTTCCCCAAGAATGAGGGGGCAACTGGGGACACGCTCTGCGCTTCCACGCGTCCACGGAGGAGTTGTGGACGTCACTGTAAGAACTGTTTACGCAGCCGAACTGCGGAATCGCAAAGTACAAGAAAAAATTTGGAGTGGTGGAAATGACGTGCGAGGCGGGTGGATTCGTGACCGACGACAAGGCGGCTTGCCATGTGGAGGCATTTGTTCTTTTTTTAATTGCAAAGGTGTACAACGCCGGGGAACAAGGGAGGGCGTGGCAGGAGACAGCATACCCACCAGGAAAAGCTCATGCAAGTGTCGGCTCTCTCTTTCATTGGCTCAGTTGATTTTCCTCTAGAGCCTGTGACCCGTCGTGCTCGCTGGAATTCTTTCCCTTTGCGTCTACGGGGCCTTATGTCTTGTTGCTCTTTTCGCCGCTGCGTTGACACATGGGCGCGAGGTGGCAACTTCCGTCTTCACGCGCCCGCACGCTCCGGGGCGGCCGGGGGAGGTGCAGCCTGGGAGGACAGCGCAGGCAGCCGTGTGGGCGGCGCGGCCGTGTGTGGCGCTGCTGCGCTGCAGGCTAAGTCCCCGCACGGTGGCTGCTTGGCGGCGGTGCTCCCTCATTACTGTGCCGCAGCGCACGTCCCAGTTTGCTTTCCCACGCTACGCGGCGGGGGAGGCAACTCTCCCCGCCGGTGTTGGGCCGCGGTGTGTCGCCGGCCCCGGCAGGGCCGCACAGAGGTGCCTCGCCGCGGCGCAACGCGCATTGCGGCTATTTGCTTCCCTAGCAGGCTGCGGGCGCCGTGCATTTCCCGTGTCCGTCGCTGCGCCCGCCGCCCCTGTCATTTTGCCTTCGGTGTAGGGCCGTTGGCCCGCGGCCCCCCAGTGGAGGGTCATTCCCTTCGCCTTTTCCTCTTCGCGCTCTGCGTCCTCGGCGGCGGGGGCCTGGGCCACTGCGGCGGTGCGCACTGTCTGCTTCCGCAACTTGCTGTGAGTGTGTCTTCTCTGACCTTTTCCCCCACGACTCTCTTTCCCTTTCTCTCTCTCACGCGCACAAGGAAGGAGACCGACCGCTAATCGCTACTGTGCACTTTGAAGGCTCTGAAGCTACTGCCACCAGCAACACACACACACACAA